GGCAGGCTCAGGTTTCCGAGGGGAGGGAGCCTGCCCTCCCCACGCTGGAGTGCTGGGCGCCTGCCCGCCAGTCCCCCCCAGCCTGCGTGCCCTGCAGAGGGTGCAGGTGGGCTCAGAGGGTCCTGGGTCGGATCCCTCCCACTGGCTTGACGCAGCCAGCCTCACCAGCTGAAGGGCACTGCCAACCCAGGGGCCTCCCTGGTGGCCACAGGGCATGACTGCACCTTGGACTGCAGCATCCCCTGGGCCCAGGAGACCCTTGCACTGCCCCTGCCTGGGCCAGTGCCTGCCCTGGGCCTGCCTCTGTCAGCTTTTCCCTGCTGGAGGCTCAGTGTGTGCACCGTGGGCATTCTTGGTGAAGCAGGGTCTCTGGCTGCACTGTCCCCTTCTCCCTGGCCCAGTGGGGTGCCCTGAGGACCCAGGCAGCCAGGTGGGGTCACAGAGGAGTACCCGCAGTCAGGTTGTGGCCCTGGGCTGTGCCTGTGGTGGCTGACAGTGGCCTCGGCCACGCAGCTCGCTAGCCTGAGCCTGAGGGGATTGGGGCATGGGTGGGCCGTGGGTATAGGATCCTCCATCTGCACCCCAGTTCTCCTGCAGCCCCTGAGGCTGCTGTTGTCGGGTGTCACGCACAGAGACAGCGACAGCCTGTGGTCTGGGGCAGCCTCCTGGGCGTGGGGTGGCTCCCAGCCACAGAGGTCTTGGCCCAGGTGGGTGGGGAGCAGCTTGGGGGAGGAAGGGGGATGGCCAAGAGACTCCTCCCACCGGACCCCTACCCCACGCGTCCCTCAGCTGGTCCGGACTTTGGGGCAGGAAGAGCCCCAGGACCTGGCTTCCGACCCATGGGTCTGGTCTGTCAGGCAGGGCTCCGACCTCTGTGGAGTCAGAGGAGCAGGTGAGCCCCTGCCTGGCAGCCCCCTCCCTGCCGGCCGAGCACTTTGACAGAGATAAAACACCTGATGGGGAGGGGAGGGGGAGGCTGGGGGAGGGGGCACAGGAAGGCCGAGGCTCTGAGACAGGCGGGATTCCGTGCAGGAGCGACCGAACACTGCCCGCATTGTAATCCGAGAGGGGCTGAGAGGGGCTGGGGAGAGAGGGGCTGAGCGAGGGCGGCTGACCCCGCGCTCCCGGGGGACAGGTGGGAGAGGCCGTCCCTGCAGTTCCAATCTGCGGTCCTGACAGCTGCAGCCACTTTGCGGGGAGGGTGGGAGGGAGGGGCTCCAGAGCGGAAAAGCCCCAGCCACACACCAGCCGGTTGCTGTGTCCGTGCTGTCTGGGCCAGGGGACCCCCAGGAAAGCGCCAGCCTCACGCCCGCGTCTTGCCTGTGCTCGGTACCCGCGGCTTGGGCCCTCAGTGCTGTGCCTGGCCTGGGGTCACGTGTGTTTCCTGGCGGCCTGCAGGTGCTGAGTGGGCTGGGCGGGGCGGCCGGGCAAGCCTCCTGGTGCAGAGCGCTGGGTTGTCGCCAGCGCATCGCCCAGGCGGGGACTGACACCCCAGGCCAGGCCAGCATGGCTCGCAAGCAGCTGGCCCCGGGCGCGGACCAGGTGCCCTCCGCCCCCTGTGGGGCACACGGGCCCCTGCCCTGGTCCTGCTGGTGAGCCAGCCCTCCAGACCGCTGTGGGTCAGGAGCACCTGCATCTCCCGCCTGTGGCCTGCACGGCCTACACCGACGTGGACTTGCGCAAGGCCAGGGCTGGGGCCGGCCCACACCACCCCCGGTCTGGTTTGAATTTCTGCAGCAGCGAGGGTGACGGAGTGTCCCCCGCCCCCCTGC